TTTTTGTACTTTTTTTTTTTTTTTTCAAGTGACATTATTTGTGGGCAGCCTCAGCTCTGCCACATGTTTAGAATCACCTGTAGTTGATTTTGCAATTTGGAAAGATTTGCTAGATTCTCTTGCAAAAAACTGTAGTTTTTTTTATCATATTACAGAAAACTATAATTTTATTATGGTTGCATTAATAAAAAGTTGCCTTAACTATTTAGCACTCGTTTGGTAGCAATTTTTCACATCAAAAATCAATTTTTTGATCGTTATTTCACTATTTCAACTGCCATTTTTTACTTCTTCGGTCACAGGTGGCTTACTTTTCTCTCTAACGGTCAAAAAATCAGTCATCATAATCATCATTGAACAGACCCTTAGTAAATCCATTGCTGCTTTGTCCACAGGGTAAATGAGAAAAAGCCATGGATGCATTTTCACACTTTTAGAATTGCAAAAGTTGAACCATGGTGTATTATTGTTCATTATTCCCAATTTGGTTTGGGTTCGAACGGGGATTATGAAGAATACAATGCAACGAAGAAATTTTAACAAAATGAATGATCCTTGTTTCATTTAAATCAGCGCCATAACGGTCGATGTTATATCAAATTCATTATGCTGTACGGTTTATCTTTAGATAATCAAATAATAAAGTAGTTGCTAACCAACATGAGATGGAACTCAACTAGAAAATGTTGAGACCTATTTCCATCTGCATTCCTAAAACCCGCCTCGTAAATCTCTAATGTGCTTGTTTCAACTTCCCTTTATGCGAGGAAATTCGTGTCAACTTCCTGCTGGCCTGGCATCAAACAAGTGTTTTTATTGTAATCATCAAGAAAAAAGAAAAAAAGGGAAATGGTGATTACCAGCAATAACTTTTATTTTTGTTTTTTTAAATTTATTTTTATATATAATGCAAAGTTATCATTTTATCTCTTTTAAAATTAGTGAGAATTGTGAAAAGAAGTTAGGTGATTATGGTGAAACAAAATAAAATTGAATGATTATGATGACGCTAAATATAAAATTTGGTGACTGATGGATTTAACCCTAGCTATTTTGTTCAATAAATAAATATGCATATCAACTTTATTAAATAATTTTTATTGTAACTTCAATAAAAATTAGAAATGATGGCTCCATACAAGATAAAATACCAAAATACTTCAACCCCAAAAGAACAAACAATATCCACAAAAATTGCATATTTGGAATCTTCAACCAAAGAGGCATTCCAAGACATATCCATGTGATTCAATAAAGATAAACAATGGGCAGTCAACATCAGAACTTAAGATGAATATGCAAACGTTTTCTAAATTCACAAAACAACATTTCACCTAAACAGTGGACAGATTCACCTAGGGTTTGGTTGTTTTTTGTTTGGCCTTTTCTATGAGGGGTCTCAACTGTTTTTTTTCAGCAAGGATCTTCAGAAAGTTGAACAAAAAGGGAATGTAATTGTGTTTCCGACGGATATTATCTGTTCTCCATTTTTTGAATTTTTCTTCCTCGATCAAGATTTTCTCAGTAGCAGCTTCGATCCCGGCATTGATTTCTGAAAGATTTTGGTTCAGCGCTTCCGCGTTACTGCTATCGACCAGTCTCTCCGACTGGAAGGCCGCCAGTTGCTGGAGGATTCTTTCCCTCTTCCTCTGGAGATCCTTGAGCTCAGCTGTATACATCTCTTTCCTGTTCTTTATAATTGCCATTAGGTTGAACCGTATTTCATTTTGGGAATACCTCTCGATGCGTTCTTGAATCACGGGCTGTACCATTTGTAACCATCCCATATCATCTTGCCCACTCGGACACTGCCCGAGGCTGATTGGTCCCTCCTTCAATCCATCAAGCTCGTATAGTACACCATCAACGGGTATATAACTGATAAAATGATAGACATCATCGTCTTTCCCAGCAGATTTCAGCTCTTCAGGTACAAATGGCTCAGGTCTTGCAAAGCTATTATGCGCTGTGCGAATTGCTTCGCTGTTATTGATAGCCAAACCTTTAAGCTCAGGTGGAAAGTTTTTGGTGAATTCTTTCAGTGACGACAGCTCCGGGCCAATGTCGACATCTGGACAGTTCATCAGAATCGACAGGATTGCTTGCGTTGCACACGCATTATTGATAACCTGTAATTATAATTAATCGGTAAGATTACAGTGGTTCAGCCATTCAGAGTTGTATCTATTTCCTCCAGCAGATATAATTGTACTGTTGCATGGAAACTGACCTGGCTGGCAAAAAACAAGTTTGGGTTTGGATCTTTAATCACGAGTCGGTCATCCTTTTCACCAGGACGCCATTTGAAAAGAAATATTAGGCCATATATAGGTCTGTAAATTGGAAAATAGAAAGACAACGAAATTTCAGAGACGTGTAAGCAAGAGCCAATAAATTAGACAACAGAAGGTGTACGATTAGATTTACCTTAGATTGTTTAAAGAATCAACATCCAGTGAATACAACTCCTCAACCTGCATGCGCACCACAAAACGGAGTGAGGAGCATGATCTTTTACTGGAAACAATAGCAAAGGAGAACTAGGAAAAGGCAGCCAACAAAAATACTCCATACCATTCCCAATCACCCTACTGCTGAAACCCCAATGTGGTCGCACGCACAATAGAACAACAGAAAAGGGAAAAGAAAAAATAGCAGAATAAAAGGGACAGGATAATGGAGCTTTATATCTTCTTTAGATAATGTTATCGACTCAAACTGAGGAACTTATTTATCTGCATCTCACTTAAGAATAACTCAACTATCAACACGCCAAAACATGCTCAGACTGGTTCAGAAATTATTCCCTGGTATAACAAAAGGCACCAAAATCCTCTAGCCACCTCTCTGTAGAATTCTTTCATCTTTTTCTCTATGCTCGTCCTGTAAACTGCCTAACCCTCTTCCCTTAGAGAGAGAGAGAGAGAGAATCCAACTTCTCTTTGGCTTTTTAAATAATTAATTTATATTTTCCAAGGTATTTATGTGTGAAAATAAAGAAATCTCACGAGATTATTAAAAAATAATAATAATAATTAATGAAAATTCAATAAACTTGCAACAAATTATCTCGATCATTTAAATAATATCTATTTTAAAAATTAAGGGTAATTATTTTTCTTGGTTATTCATTTAATTACTCTAAAATAGGAATTGACGTAATCAAATAGAAAATTTTGAAGAACTAATATAAATTTGGGTTCAAGAAATTTAGAATTATTTTATAACAGAAACCTTCATTTTTCTTTCGAAGTTGATTGATGATTGGTCATAGAAATTTCAAATCATGAAGACAACACTAACTAATATCAAGCTAAACATGCCACAACCTGAGAATAATCAATGATAATTATGACCAAATGTTATCTTAGCATGAAAATTGCTATGATTTGAAATTTTGAATTAACAACGTGACTGTGATTTGCTACCCGTAAACAATGTGATATGCTAAGGCAACTCTTCTTAGATTACTTAATCAATAAATTTCACCATTCTTCATTGATGACTGAGATTACTTTATAATGAAGCATTTTTGTAATTTAAACTGCAACGAAAGAAAAGGGAGCTCACCAGTCTTACTGTAGAATAGTTCATTTTTCTACTACTAATTTCTCTCTCAATATTCTTGCTTCATAATGATCAAAGATAGGAAAGGTATAGATTAGAAATATTTATAATTTCCAAATTGCTGGTGGTTTATCAAATTTGGAAAATCATACAATTACAACTTTGTTAGATACCAATTTTACTGTGAGCATACAATGAGTAAAAGTTTCACCCAGCTGTAATTTATATACACAGTTATATATCTGAAATTCGGGAAAGTGGAAATGGGGAAACCACAATTCATAAACTTATAAACCACCCCACCACCCTCACCACCAAGAGAAAAAACAAATAGATAACCCATTCAAGAAACCATAACACGCTAGGAATCTCAATATACCTGCACACCTTTAACTTGCATCTGCTGTATGAGTTCAGTGAAAACACCTACAGCACAAGCAGAATAATATGAAAAGTTTTAGACACCATCACAAAGAAACCCCACTGTATCTAAGCCATTACAGAAAAATGCAAGAATATACTATATGGAGAAAAGAAGCTAAAGAATTTCAAAAAGAACAGAACAGCTTAAAAAAGTGGTGGCATCATAATGATTAACATCTTACGGGCACTGATGAGTCAGCGGTCTAACACCAATAACTGCTGCAGATAGATCCACGAGTGGAACTTGAAAACAAACTGAAGGTTTGAGAACTCCATTGCAAACAAGAAGAGGGACTTCTAGATACAGAGAAGGGTAAAGAATATACTTTTCATGATTGACTTGAGTGTGATAATATTAATTTACTTCTTACAAGGTTCAGAAAAACTTTTTAGGTTCCCGCCTCAAGTCACATCTCACATGAGATTTTCATTTAAATGCCTCTAAGTATATGCTTTTAGTGCCATTTTGAGTATATTAAGGCTTGACTTAATCTACTCCTAGAGGCTATCAACCAACCAACAAAAATTTCAGAACACCTTTCCTTTTCTCAAGGTGGATTAAGAAGAACCGGCAACTGGAAGTCACTAAGATACAAGGTTCTGCAAAAAATTGATCTTGGTCCAGAGTTACAATGTCAGCTCACCGGACTCAATGAGTCTCACAGAAACTTGGACCTGCCAACTTGGCTTGAAGTGAAAATAGAAGAATAAATATTAGAATCCTCGTTTGGCCTAGTGGTTAAATACTTGATGTTGCTGTTGGTTATGATGGTCGCAATTTGTTGCTTAAAGGTTTCAAATAGTGTCGGGGTCAAATGCCGGTAGTTGTACTCTTATATTATCAGTAAGGAAATAATCTTATTCTATCCAATAAACTGATTTTTTTTTCTCAACTTAAAAAATAAAATTGCATTTACATTCCCATTAGATTTCTCCTGATGAGCGGATCCCAACTTTAAATTTGAAGCCAGATGGTTCCCAGAGAACAATTGTGTCCAAAATTCCGTAGTATCATGCATCTCTCACATGACCATGATACTCAATGAATTGAAACTTATAAAATCACATTACAGTAAGCCAAAAAGAAAAGAAAAAATTAATGAAAAATTGAATTTTCACACAACCGCCGTTGATGCCAATCTCCCACGTTCAGCCTCAACCCTCTCCCTCCCCCTTCCCCAGTGTCCAATTCCCGTCCTTAAAAGGATAAGTAAAGATTAGAAAAAAATCAAATTGAAAAAAAATAAAAAATAAAAAATAAAATCCAAGTTTAAAAGATGGTATGCACTATGTGTACGATTCATCACGGTTACAATAAAATCTCTAAAAATATGTGTTCATCTATTGACAATATATCGCATATACAATAACATTTGGTATCAAGGAAATGCATTTCAGCTCATAATTCATTATACCCAAAATCAATTAATCTACCATCCACATAAATTCACAAGCCAAAAGCTAATGTACACTTTGATGGGAACCTTGTGGGTCTTTTTTGTTAATCATGTTACGTGAGTTTATTAAAATGAGGCAATAATTCAGAGAAAGCAAGTAAGGAACACAGTTTCTGGAAGAATGCAAATGCAAAAATGCAAAAACAGACACAGAAAACGAGTTCAAATGGATACAAGCATTTGGTGTATGTAATAGATACGTTCCTTCTGGCCAAAATAGAAACACGAGAAGCAGTTAGGCATTCCAAAAATTTATCATCAATGTCAAATAACTTTTCATAACTAGACACTCAAATTGGCTGTTGGAGGCTAAAAAATTAACCCCTTACCAAAACTGTGTACTAGAAAGATTTTTCCGAATAAACAAAATTACCCATATCGAGAAACAGGCAGGCTCAAACAAAATTTAAACAATAAAGGCCAAAACAAAACATACCAGGATCCGACTCAATGGTGCACCAAGACATGATTTTTAGTCCAACTGCTGCAATATTAAAGAAATGACAATACGATAAATTAGGTTACAAAACGCACAAATTTTCATCGGTATCATACCAATTCTCCCTAGTAAAGAGAACATATAGCAAGAAACAAATATTTCAAGTCAATCTCACAAGAAAAATCTTGAAATACACATCCTTCTGAAATCATTTAATACAAATTGAACGCAGTATTTGCAATCCAGTTGCCTCAAAATTTAAGCAGCATATCTCAGTAAATTGGGCATAATTGACCATACCTCAAATTTCTATGGAGAGGACGGATTTCTAGGCTCCAGTGTTCTTCCAATGTTGTAGATGATGGATATGTTTCTTGTCTTTGGACGATAGGGTTTGATCGGGTGGCCAATGGAGTCTTCAAACTAGAAATTTTGACTTAGTAACACTCGAACGGCCAAGATAAAAGAATTGTAGCACATGTGAGTTGTGACCATTTTGTCCAAAAAAATTGACATTATTTTCTAATCATATTTTACGTTTTTTTCAACCTAAACTTCATCTAGACCTGTTAAGCTCATAAAAGTTCGATATTAATTTAAATTGAGTGATCTTAGTAAATAACTCGAATAATTGTTGAAATTAAAGCGTTAGTTGAACTAGGATTTTCAAAAACTAAAGTCCTTTTTTTCGAAAAGTCAATCTAGACAACAAAAGTCAAGAAGAACTTTCTATGGAATGTGTGAATGATAAATGACAATAGTTGTGTCTTATCAAAATTGTAAATTAAACCTATGTTTGATCAATTACAATCATATATCAAAGACGTTCTATTTTGAATCAAGTGATCACACGTATTATAAAAATTATTAAGAAAACTGATATTCTATAAATAATATGCAATAACTACAAGTTAAATTTTATTTTCCAAATTTAAACAATTGAAACATGAAACGATCTCTATTCTATAAATAATATGCAATAACTACAAGTTAAGTTTTATTTTCCAAATTTAAACAATTGAAACATAAAACGATCTCAGAGTAATGAAAGAAGCAGGAATGCAGACACAATAAAGACATTGGTCTACATAAATATAATATAAAAATTAAAGATGATATTAATACTCGAGGAAGAAGAAAATATAAAGTAAACGAAAACGTGTTTTTGGAATATTATTTGAATCAAATTATTCTAAAAGAAAAATAAATAAATAAATAAAGTTACCTTAGAATTTCTTTCTTCATCATGTCTAGATTTCATCTAATCTAAACAAAAACGATCTAAAATGACCGTTATTCTCGTACTACTATGTTTTTCCTTCTTTAGCTTTTCCCTTACCATTTCTTTCAAATCTGAGTTTTACAATTTGTCCACTTCTCATTCATTACTGACGACATAATATAGTCTTACAAACATACTCATATTCATTTCATTTCACAATTAAACCAAAGCTCCTATATTCTATGAGAAAAGGGTATTTATGTTGAAGTTGTTGCTGGCTTCTGGGTTGACTTCTGACTTTAGATTTTTGACTTCTTTCTGCTAGATGGAACTCGGTAAAAGGAGTAATGCAGACACTAGTAGTCGCTTGCTTAAGCTTCTAACTCTTGGCAGCTAGGTGTAATTTTGTATCTAATATAGCCACTTCACATAAATTGTTTCATAGTGTAGAGTTTAAAGTATAGTATACAAAAAATTATTACAACTACAATGCAAAAAATATAAACTCTCTAAATATAAAACCAAACCAAACGACCCAAAGCTTCTTCTACACTGCCAACCAAGTCTCCTATGATGTTGAACTTAGATTTGTGTCAGACCGGATCATACACCGTCACCCACGAAAATGACAATGAATATAACACGAAAAGATCCACCGAAAGCCACCAAGAATTTCACCGGAGATGTAGAATACTCTCACCTGGTTACCTCTGTATTATTTCTCTCCAATGTTATGTCAAGTCCAAAAATAAGATAAATAAAAAAATCTTGTAATTATAGAACCAATTCATTTGAATTCAAAATTCAAATATAGTACTATGATCAACTAAAAAGTGACAACACTAATATAAAATAACTGAGCACAAGATTAAATCCATTGAATTTAATCTATGATTCATATTACTCCATAACTAGCTCAATCCACTTCACATTTTCAAGACCAATCAATTTGCACCAAGTAGAGGGTGTGATCCACCTTACACATAATTTTTAATCATAATATAGGGCACTGTTGTCTTCTGAAGTTTCCTATGAAGGTGCCTTCTCGAGAATAAATCTTGATCCTTGTGCATTCTTCATAAAAGCACATCAGATCTAGAATCAAACCATATGAATGACCATAATTTGATCTTTTTAACTTGCCGACAATTTTAATATGAAAGGACTAGGCATGTTGAACTTTATACTTGAGTCGAGCTTGAAACTTGTTAACACTCATCGACTCATTTGCTCCCTTAGGTTCCATTCGAGATATATATTTGCGCACACGCTATTATATGCAAACCCAGAAAGGCCAAGTCATATGACATTCATTCTCCATCACAGCTACTTTTCACAAATTATACAACAATTTCTAACAAGAGCAACTGGCAGTTGCAGACTTGGAATAGAACAGAGTTTCTATAAATTGAGTTGTTTACAGAAGAAGCCCCGTCCATCCAGCACGTTACATAAGTTTATACAGATTATTCTTTCTGAAAAGTGAAAACTCACCCTCTAGATTGTTTAGCAGATCTACTATTGCCTCTTCCTTTGATCCACTGAAGTGTTCCGAGAGTTCAGATAGTGAAACCTGCACATTTTTGCTGTTACCTTCTCGAGGAAGAATATCGAAATGTGGCTAAGATACGTTGATTGTAAAGGTTCAATACTTACCCCATCATCAAAATTCTCAAGCCAGCGTAATATGGAACTCTCCGTTGCCTCAACTGCAGCAGATTGTCCAGCTTGAGGTCCATCAACTCTCTGGCGTTTCCTAGAATTCGGTGAACCATCAGTACCACATACTAACTGTTCTGTATTTGCACTCCCTATGAGGATATCGGAATCTGTGTCTTCAGATTTTCCCAGTGAACTACCACCATTTACATTGTCCACGAGTGATTCACCATTGGCTTGACCCTCTACTCTGTAGACGTGATGATGCCCAGATGATATAACTTTAGTCGATATTCCCATCTCTTGCATCAGCAAGCAGGACTTGATCTGGCTATAAGTTACCTAGTTTTATAGACAACAGAATTATCATATATTATCACACAACACATGGAATCCTAGTTCATATCATTTGTTATATCATAGGATGCACGATCCACAACATTAATATTCAGCGAATTTTGGTCGCAGGACTGCATTTTTACTTATTCTTCTTTAATAGCAAATTTAATCCACCTTACTAAACATGCTATGATTATGTCAATGCTTAATAAAAGGTTTAGTTCTGAATGCATCCCTCCAAAACATTCAATCCATAAAGCTTACTTCTTCCGGTAATTCAGTTTTGATAGGTTTTAGCTTCTCTTTGCCAACTTTTGACGCAACATTCTGAATATTCGTAAATATCTGCCGTGTTAATCCAATCTCCTCACAGAATCTCGTCCAAGCGATAGTACGTCCCTCTCTTGCAGCTTCAAGAAGATACTCAATTACAGTTTGTTCTTTTATTGGAGCTGCTCGGCCAGGAAAATTCTACAAAGAAGACAGTAAACATTAGTTCATGCTAAAAACTAGGCATAACTTAATGACAAGCAACTGTATTAAGCCATACGGCAATTTTATGGAATGTAAGGCCATCTTCTTGCCACATTCTCCAAGCTTCAAACTTTGCCGGCAATCTCTTATAGTTTGGTACAGTCAAAACCTTCGTTGGAGTAGGAGTTTGTATGTTTGGCTCCCCGTCCAAAGCAATATTCAACTCTTTAGATAGATGCCGAATGCTTTGTAGCAAACAATCTCCATGTGTATTTAGAAAGTGCTACAACACATTATAAAAGCTTCCAATTAAGATAATACATGTGTAAACATGCAACTAGATAAAAGTGATAACATATGATCAAGAGTCTTAATATGATGGTTCTAAAATTTACCTCACATCCCCACCCACATTATTGTTGATCATGTTGCCTACTATTTTTATCTCAAGTTGCAGTCATGTCTTCAAAACAATTGGTTTTACCCGTCAATTTTAAAGCAATCAGTGAGTAAATACTGCAGCAAATATACCCAACACAAATATGTTTGTGGATGAGCTCTGTGGATCCAACAAGAGGATGAAGAAGATGCTAACAAGTTACAATTCTCTAGGGCTAACTTAGAAGTTTCATCAAGCTTAGTAGCAGCCATCTTACCAATCTGATTCCTGAAACCCAATCTTCTTTTTCGTCTAAGATTATATGTATAAGATGGCTAGAACAACCCAAACATTGTATTATCCAAATGTGATCATTGTATACAGGGAAAATGCAAATTTTGGCAGATGCGATCAAAGAAAATAAAATCAGCAGTTATTAATACAACTGGACCATTGAAATGTACAAAGTGAACATAGACCAAGCATATACAAGACCTTGTCAAGCTAAACTAGAGTGGACTAAGAAACGTGACTATTAAGTACATAAGTTATACCTGGTTCACGCCATCTATATTTGCTAGCCTTGCTCGAGTAGATGGCCTTGTCAATGCTATCCTTCTTAATGTTTGATCACCACATATTGCATATCTGCAAGCAAAAACAGATCAATAGACAGCCTTGCATTTCCTCAAAAGTACAATTGTATAGTGTAATCGTACAGTGGCTTGACATTAGAAAAATACTCCTGTCACACTATTGTCCCAGGATGACTTTTCTTACCAGCTTGACTACATTTTGGGGGTGAAACGATCTTGCTACATTAAATCTAAGAAATAAAACTTGGCAATTAGCGAGCAGGTTACTGTGTTGACGAATTTTCAAGTGTTCATCTTGATAAATATCACATTAAGATTAATTGCACTTCAAGAAGGGGCTGGAATTGACCCAAAAAGACCAATGTGATAAATTGTTAAGTGATACAGCGAGTAGCAGCTCTAAGAACAATGACAAAATAAAGAGAAACTCACGGAGCAGTTCCAGATTTTTTTGCTATCTTCATTCTTTCTTCTACAAGCATTTTATAGAACTCTGCCTCTCCCTGAACTTGTAAGCATAAAAGTCAAAACATTACAGGTTTTGGCCAAAGTTAAATTGTTGAAGACGACCAAAGGAATGTCTGAAGGTAAAAATTTAAATAGAAGTGCATGGTGTCCTTTAATTCACATGCAGAAGATGCTTAGGATGGTAGAAAATCTCACCTGGGACAACCCCTCAAATTTAAGTGGAGCCAAACCATCAACTCCAGCCTCACCAACTACGTCTGTAACTTTGACATCACCAATTATTTCTGAAGGTGATGACAGATATAATGGAGGCTGATGATCAGGACTGCAAGAATTCAAGAAGTACACTCCTTTTTGTCCGACACTGAAGCATGAAAGTAAAATCAAAATTAAATTTACATTAGAATCTTATTAAATTGGCTGTAAAAGAGAATGTCCAATTTTTATGTTTTAACATTGTTCACAAAAAGCACAGTTTTTGGCTTGCCCTGATTTACGCAAATCCATACTTTGTACCCTGCAGCAAATAAATCTAGAAAGATAACTGTAGGCAAAATCCACATTCTGTAAATCTTCGTCCTGATATGAGCTGTCAAATTTATCTCTTACAAATATTCACCTTTTGGACAAATATGAGCTTTTGGTGTCAATTGTTTAAGAAGAGACAACTAATGAATGTGAACAAACATTTTGATCTCACCACAAGCACCAATGAAGTAGACTTGCCCTGTGAAAGTCTTCCCTGGCTCAGTTTATTGCGGGCAATAAAATGAGGCAGATGACAGGCTGATAAAGGAAAACCGATGAGGTTGTATGAGAGAGGTCTGACACCTGAACTTGTATCCCACATTAGTGAATCACAAAAAACATGAAGTTATAAGTTGGCTTTCTCTCTCATGACAACCGTTGTACCACTTTTGGGCAATGGATTTTAGGCCTAATTGCATGTTGCACTTGATGGGGTGGCGTCCTACCAGGTACAATAGATCATGGGTCCAGGGAGTGACATAATATACAACTGGATGCCAGTCAGAAGTTGGAAACTGAGTATTATGAGGGACAAATTGCTATGCTATATCCAACAATGACAAGCATCGTTAGGAGGTGTGATTTCAACTTGAACATAACACAGGTGGACTACGGAAATTATGGGCAAATTATAAGCTTATGTTAAGAGCCCACATCAGGCCATTAGTACAACGTTTTGGAAGTGGATTTAGGCCATACTGCAGGTTGCAAGCGGTGGGCTTGCAGGATACTATAAAGTCAAATGCGCTCACGGCTGATGTGTGTCAGAATGGGGGTGTGAGACGGCACAGTATATTTTTACAGCTCAAAAGTCATATACTAGTCAGATAAAGAAATCTACCTTACAGTTTTGAACACATCTTTGAAGGTCTCCACCAAATAATCTGCACACAGTGCAAATAACCATTAACTGTCCAAGACTGTAATTTGAAAGGATGCAAAAAGAAAAAAGTGTCCATACAATCAAAGAAAACAAAAAGGAATCGGTATTCCAATGTCACTGCTTCCTGACAGCATCCAAGTATGGCACATAATAGAAGGGTAGGATACATGACTAGTGCAAATTCCCTTAAAGTAGGCACTAAAATTTAGAGGTTCTGTATTTTACTTTCTTTTAGAAGCAACAGGTCTTTAGTTTTGGTTTGGCATCATAGAAAATACACACATTTCATTTACTGTGCAGTTTCAGCTGCGGATCCAATAGAATAGAGCAAGCTGCTGATTTTCTCATAAGATGTTAGACCAGAATTAGAAAAGATAAAAAGTTTTAATGAAATGTTATGTGATCAAATAAAATCATTTTTTAAGTGCACAAAATAGTTATATAAACAAAAAAATTTCTTCAGCAATGTCTGTAAAAGATCAATGACCCAATAAAAAATTGGTCTTGATAGGCTTTTTTTCTACACTCCAAAACTTAACGGGCTAACCATTGAATATACTCTCAGACTGTATTGAGATCGCTATTTGCACTTCTGCAGGGTTGTGATTTAGCTGGATATTCGAGCTATTAATATATTCTGGGTCTCTCTATTGGCATTCACATTTGATAACCTCATTGGCCTGGAATATAACAATTACAAATAAGCACAGATAAACAGTACAATATGGTTCTTTTGATTGCTCCCTTAATGGATGCAATGTGGTATTTACTTCACTTCTTCCTTCTTAGTATAGTAAAAACATCCATAAACACAGATCCTTGATACAAAGACTATTCACACGTACCACGTGAAATCAACTGATCAGCTAGAGCCTTCCACCAATTTGCTGGCATCTCTTTCCCGAGGCCGTGGAAAGGAAGCTTATCAAACTGAGCATCAAGAATTTTCTTGGACTGTGACCAAACAAAAGGCACTAGTGTAATTTTGCAATGACTAAACCACAAGATCAGTTTTCCAAAGCCTCCAAAATTTAGAATACAATACCAAAGCCACTAATTCAGAACAAAGAAAGTCAATTCATCATTTCTTACGAAAATTTGTGTAGTCCCATCCAACCTTTTTTTTCTATTATCTAATAACTTATATGGCAACCTTGGTTCCATACATCCCATGGAAGAATATCAACACACAGTATCATTAGTTTTCAATAAGAAAGCTTACTCGAGATCCACGAAGAACATCAACTGGCAGATTGAGACCCCAGTGACCTCCACATGCTTTAACGCAAGCCATTAAAAGAAATGCCTCCCAAGACATATCACTCTCATTCTTTGAGCTAGTGCAATTATCACAAGTTCCTGAACACATCATACAATTAGCTACTTTCTAGTACCAAGGTAACTCAAAAGATGATTTCTGGAATACTGTGACTTGAATTATAGACAAAATTAACAATATAGAACCTTAAAAAACCAAGGTCCAAAAGCCAAAATTGTCTTCCCTAAATTTTTTTTCTTTCTTCCTTTTCACATCTGTTTTGGGCATGAAGAACATAAAAAATAATCGTTGACTAAAAACAAAAGCTGTAAACAACATATTTCCCCATGATAACTTTAGATAAGAGAAAAGATCATCATCCCAATCTGTTAGTGCCTGAAATATAGATTTTCTTAGACCAATTTACTGATTTAGAATGAAATGAACGCAACCTGATGACAGCAAAGGCCAAAGCTTTGACTCATGGCCGAATGTAAAGCAATCAACCAGGAAATAAGCCAAAAACACATGGGTCTTGCTGCTTCTATCAGTTCTAATCGGAAACGTGGGAACCATAAAAAATATAAAAGCTTGAAGAAGAGAAATTTCCACTGACTTCATAAGAAATGCCATCACAAGCATAAAAAAGTAAAATTTCCGCTCCGGATAATATTTTGGCAAAAAAGGGAGCAAAACTTTGACTACTAAATGGAATGCTTGTAGACATAAAAAATGAGCTATACTCTACCTACTCATGTATATCCACATATACAATGCAGTGTCTCTATGCTTTCATTCTTATCTTTCTCATCCCTTCCTACTCATATCTCGTGCGTTCTTTAATTACATTCCCGTACCATTGTTATCTACATTCTACACCCTTTCTCTTGTTTATTCATCTCTTTCTCAGATAATAATATGCTGTACTGAGCCTTGCGCTGATTTAATAAATGCAATCCTCTTCGTACCACTCTTATCTTACCATCACTGATATACATTTTAAATGAAACATTGTCATGCTTTCTTAATCAATTATAATTCAGGTATTTGCTTACTGCACATGACACTTTAAAGGTCAAATATTACCCATACCACAATTGGCAGAGCCGTATTTCTCTCCAAAGTACTCCAAAAGATACTTTCTTCTACAAGTTGTCAGCGAACAATAGCGTTGTGCTGCCATGAATGACTCCATAATAGCTTTTCTTTGCTCTGCCTTGTAGAATCATACATGTACCAAACATTTAAGCAATATGGAAACAACCTAAAGAAATTAATAAATGCTGGGAACTACTATATAAAATCTTTAATATATGAAACTCTAAGAAGGTCAACAAAATAAAAAAACATACTGTGCGTGCTTCTGAACAGTAAAAATCGGCTTTCCAAAAGTCGCTTCTTGCATAATACAACCAACAGGTCGAAGGAATGCCATCTCTACCACAACGTCCACTTTCCTGGTAATATGATTCCAAACTCTTTGGGCAACCATAGTGCATCACATGTCTAATGTTAGGCTTGTCAATACCCATGCCAAATGCTATAGTTGCAACCATGACATAAAATTCATCTCTGATGAATGCCCTGAAATGCATCAAAATTTCAGTTGCCAGTCTTACCAGATAAATAATAATTGCACCAAGAATGGTGAAGGGCACACACAATTATACATCCTTCGACAGAATAAAGTAAACAAAACTTTCAATCAATTCAAGTACAAAGATTCAGAAATAAATGAAACAGATAAAAGCTAGTGAATATTAAAACCTGTGTGACTCCTCACGTGCTTTATTAGACATTTGGCCATGGTAGATTCCAGCCTCAATTCCGTCCTTGTGAAGGAACTTGAAAATCTAAAGAATCATGATTTCAATAACTAAAGTCAGAACATCTCATCATGGATATATGTATTTCCATATCTTTCTAGAAGACCGTGACATAGATGAAATGGCTGGCATTTAGCTAAAATCCACGCGCATGCTTACGTATTAGAAACAAGAATAAAAGATGCACAAATCTAGAAGTAAAAATAACCTGTTCAGCATCTTTGACAGTTGTACAGTATACTATAGTTGAATTTCTGCTGTTCGCATATTGAGAAATCTCCTTCACAAGCTCATCCACAAAAGCTAAACTGCGGTTGGAATATCTAACTCCATAGAAGAGATTTTGACGGTCAAATGAGCCAATAGTTACTTGAGGATTTTTCATCTTCAGTGAATTTATAATGTCAATGCGAACCCTGGAAAAAATCAAGTATGTTCAAAGGTTCTATGAAACTGAATTTAAATAAAAGCAAAATCGTAGTGAAAAAGAAATTTTGATCTGATAGATTATTGGACAAATTAAAACTAGAACACGAAAGATGATTAATGATTTATGAATTTACACGGATTCTGTACTGAACTCACTTAAACTAAGGATAGAAAAGTAACATTGGGAACAACAGATAGAAGAAAAGGCCAAAAAATAGTTGGCAATATCTTAGAGAAGTACCTGAACAAGAAAGTACTGTCATTAATATTTTAAACTGATCCCATAACATAAGATTAAGACCTCATGAAAAGTTTTACATGTAGTAGAATATCGATAAGGTTGTGGATTTTTCTACATATACAGAATTTGCAGAACCAAATGGCCAGAATGTAACTTAAAATGTGTAGTTCCCTACCTCCTTCAACTAATGACCGGATTATTTACCAAGAAGAATGCTATCGGCAACCAGAACAATTAGAACAACGAGATACAAAATGGAAAAACAATCTCATGATGCAAAAACCTACTTTGCAGTAGCAGTTGCCGTCAAGCCAACAAATGGAACATTTGGTAGAACATCCCGCAGCCCACCTAATTGTTTATACTCCACCCTACAATACATATGGAAAGAACAATGATAGTAGAAACATAGAGAAATAAATCTAAAAAGAACAACCAACAAGAGAAGGGTTGGAGCAGAAAGTAGCACAGACATGAAAAACACATTTCTTTAGAATTGAAGCATCATTTTGAATCCAACTCCTGAGCTAAAAAAGAAGGGCTGTCAGATCTTTGTTTATCGTTCATTAGGGTATTAGAAGCTAACTTTTTGACAGCGAGATAATAACTAATTACGAGCGCCGGGTTCAATTGAAATTGATGGTAATCACTTGAAGATTGTGATATAAAACCAAACTCTTCTTAACTGTAAGATATTTAAACACACTCTCATGGTATCTCAAGCAACCGGCTTGATTTCATACAGTCATTTAGTTCAAATTCCCATATTTCCTTCCCTTATAAGTCAAGCATGGCAATAGTGTGACTGATAAGTGTGAAAAATATGCAATTATCAACACTTGGATAGATGTTTATTCTCAAAAAATTGACAAGTGAAAGATACAGTCGTTACATACTAGATCCACATAGTCAATCTTTCTTAATCATCAATTGAATCATTGCTCGTGATCCACGATTCTAAGTTGTCATCACTTGAAATCCCGTTCATATTTTTCATTATTATCATTATAAAATAAAAGCTTATGTGAGGAACGCCTTGGATAAATGAGAAATCTCATTCATTAAACAAAATAAAAACAAAAGTAGCATCTTGCAGTCACTTGACTTTGAACCAAAACTGGTTTGTCAAGGTCCCAAGTGCAGTCTTCAACACATGGCCAGTATGAATGCATAATTACTCTGGTTTAGATGAACTTTCAGACCCATTAAAACTTCAAACTTCAACCTTTCTGTTTTCTTCAAGTAACCATATCTCTGGAGTGTCTCACAGAAATCATGCCCAACGCATTTAAATCTTAAGAAACTAATCATAAAATGTTATATCAGTGACGAACTGACCTGAAATCATGACCCCACTCTGAAATGCAATGTGCTTCATCAACAGCCAGGAGACATATTCCTGAAATTAGCAATCTGGACCAGAAACTGCAGTAACACACTATATCACTCAGGAGAACATAATAATCACAATTAAATGGAAGATTGCAAAAGCAATAGAAAATTTAAAAACTGGAGGTAAATAAGGAAAAAAGTAAGAGATGAAGTTTTGGAACTCCAGCTTACCTGGTTGTAAGCATGCAGGCCTTCTCTGGAGTCATGTACAATATATCATACTGGCCACTTTCAGCATTACCATGTGCACTACGGTTAGTCTGAGCACTTGAGAGATACTCAGCTCTTATACCTCTTTGCTTCAATGCCATTACCTAAACAGTATAAAAAGTAGATACATTTTTTTTGAAGTACTGGTGGATATAATTAAGATTCACCCACTTATCAAGAAGATAAAGCACAAACCTGATCTTGCATCAAAGAAATAAGAGGGCTTATGACAACAGCAGTCTTTTTCGCAATCAATGGTGGCACCTGATAGCTTAGTTCATTGTTCAGGAAATCGTTAATCAGAAGTATGATATCTTCAAACAAGTAACTGTATTAAGACTATAATGCAAAACACAGAAATAAATTGAAGCTTACCACAAGGACTTGCCACTGCCGGTGGCCATAACCACCAAGCAATCTTTACCATCTAAAATTTTCTCCACAATTTCTCTCTGGTAGGGGCGAAATTTCGAAAACCCAAAATATTCCTGTACCAAAAATTAATAAAATCGTTAAAAAAAACCGTCGAGAAAAACAAAAGAAGAAAAGAATATTAAAAAGTAGAAATTTGAGAAAGGAAAGGAACCTTGAGGGTCGACTCCATTTCTGTGTTTGATTTTCGGTCGAGCGATGAGTCCGTTAAGATGAAGAACAGTCGAAAAGTTTAGGTGAATTTCAATTGTGAATTGAGTCTTTTAATGAAGAACAGTCAAAGACTCAATCTTTTCGACTCGTTGTGAATTTCAATTGGAAATGCTGTACATTTGGAGGGATGCACGGATTGCTTTCCCGCCATAATATGCGGCACGATGAGCGTGTGTGTGTGTATTTTAACATCATTATTAGGTTGTTTTGTACAAAATGTTTTTTAGGCGAATTTTTAAATTGCGTCAAAATTATCTACACTACAATAAAAGAGAGAATGAGAGTTTAATGTTCATTTTTGTCATACTTCTTTTCACACTTAACCGATTTGAGAACTGATTTGACAACAGAAAAAATTCTATTCAACAATACTGTAGGACTCTTTCTCATAATTTTCACGCTATTAACTATCAACCATATCTTGTATATTTAAATTTTTAAAATTATATTAATAAACAAAATTATTGTAAAAAAAAAAAAACATATTCACTCCGTGCATCGAAAAAAAATTTACGTCATACCACATAATTTTTCTTGAGCAAAATAATGTATTGAGAAAATTGTTGCGAAAAAAATAATAAAATAATTGATTTTTTTTTTAAAAGAAAAACGAATTATACGCATTTTTTAACACATACGCTTAATGTCTGTTTAACTATTTTCAATATTCATTTAGATCATTCAATGTGTTTATGATATAGTTTTTGAAATGAGTTTCTAGATAATGTAAAATATTTATCTATTCGATTATCGTACAATTGTCAATTAATTTTTAAAATTAGCTTATTATCGAAAAATTTGGAAATATATTTTGAAAATATCTATTTTGACGTTTTGTAACATTTGCTACGATTAGTCGTTTCACGCACCGTTAACGACGTGCAATACTATGTCGCGAGTACTTTAAAATGATATTAAGAATGTAATATTTCGATTTCGTTTGATATCCCATAATGAGCCTGAAAATGAAAACAAAAACATAAGTTAAAAAAATAATAATAATATGCAATTTTTATTTTATTTTTTACTTTTATTTGTAATACATTTTTTTATTAATATTTAATTTTAAAAAATAAATATATCTAAATGTTTACTTAAAAATGTTGAAGTTAATATTTTTTACCTATAAATAACTTTTACAATTATAATTTTTTTATTACTTTTAAATAACTTGAAGTGATTTATTTACTTATAAGTAACTTTTTACGTTCTAGATAGTTTAATCTTTTTATTAATATTTAATTTTAAAAACTAAATATATCTAAATATTTATACCAAAAAAATTTTAAGTTCACATTTTTTTATATAATTAGCTTTTGCAATTATAAGAGAATGAGGGATTAATATATATATTTTTTTTACCTATAAGTAGCTTTTACAAATATAAGTTTTTTTTATTTTAAATAACTTGAAGTGATTTTTTTTACTTATAAGTAATTTTTTATCTTTTAGATAATGTAATCTCTTCTTTTACTTTTAAATAACTTAACCGGTTTGGGAACTAATTTGGCAACAGGAAAAATTCTATTCAAAAATAATGTAGGAATTTTGTCACACGCCATTGTCCACTGCAATATTTCTCCCCTGCTTTGAATCTAACACAACATGCTCTTTCTACTAATTTTCACGCTATTAACTATCAACCATATCTCATATATTTAAATTTTTAAAATTATATGAATAAAAAAAATTATTGCAAATAAAATGTAATATATATATATATAGATTATTTATTATATTTTCAATTTCTTGATTTGGTTTATTTTCTATATTATTTAATTTTTTATTTATATTTTCTATTGCTTCTGTAGTCTTAAGATCTGGAAATTTTTCTTTATCTTCTACTCTAGAAATTTTGTTTAAAATTGTTAAATTTTGTTCTTTAATAAAATCTAGGTTTTCACGAATTTTATTAATATCTTTCTCAATATTAAAGATTCTTTTTCCTAAAGTATTAAATTCTCCAGTTAAACAATTCAAATAGAAGAACACAATTCATAATGCAATGTTTAGAAGAAAAATGTGTTGAATTACAAATTAAGAATCAACTAAAAAAGACAGATTATAAATTTTGTAAAGATATTTTTACACCTCATACTTATGGTAATAATTTTAGAGAAAAGAATAAAAGAAAATATGATAAAAGGAAAACTAGTCAATCTTTTAAGAAAAGATATTATCTTAGAAAATCTAATAGAAGAAAGCCTTATTTAGATGAAAGTAGACATGTCAGGAAATTTAAACCAGAAATAAATTATCCTAATAAATTAAATTGTTATGTTTGTGGGGAAACAGATCATTTAGCTAAGGCATGTCCAAAAAAGATAAATAATAATGATAAAAGAAGTACTTTAGTAGAATGTACTAATGAAGATTTATTAGAAATAGATGAATATATTTCAGATAAAGAGTCAGTATATAGCATTATATCAATAGAAGATTATAATAATAATTGTAATCTAGAAGAACAATCAGATTATGAAAATTTCATACAAGAATTTTCAAATATTAAAAATTTATCAGATTCAAATGAAGAATTAGAATTTATGGATATAGAATTAGAATGTAAACATAAATGGATAAAAAAAATAGGTTCAGACAGTATACCATGTTTTTTATGTAAATGGTATCCTAGTAAAAAATTAAGAGTTAAATGTAAAGATTATTTTCTAGAAGCATGTAAAAAATGCTTGATACAAAAAGACTTAGTAGAATTTGAAGAAGAAAATCAGAATGATTCAATTCAAATAGAATTATCAGAAATAAAAATATTAAGAAAAAGAATAGAAAACTTAGAAGATATGCAAAGATATATTTTACAGAAATTAGAACTTTTGGAATTAAATAAAAAAGGAAAAAACCCAGAAGTCACTCCTGAACCAGAATTAGTTCAAGTTTTTTGTAATTCAGAAAAATTAAAAAGTATTAAAGTAAAATGTTATGTTAGAATAGAAAATTTTGAAATAATTTGTTTAGGTTTAATAGATTCAGGATGTAGTCATTGTGTAATTAATAAAAGAATCATACCAGAAAAATATATAATAAAGTCAAAAGAACCTATAGAAGCCCAACAAATGGATGGAAATTTTTATAGTTACCAAGATATCCTTAAACCAGCAAGAATTAGTTTTGAGACTAATTGTGGAAGAAGTACAGAATATAGTTTACCTAAAGACTCAGTATGGGTAAGAGAATTATCTTTAAATACAGACTTAATTTTAGGATTAAGTTTTTTGTTAAAAGATAATGGTAGTATAATAATTAGTAAAGATTATATGCAATTACAAAAATTTACAATTTGTGCACCTACTTATACTAAGATTATTTCATCAGAGTCTGCTGAGAAGCGTGGTGGGATTAGGGAAAAAGAATGTGAGTGTAGTAAGGAAAGAGAATGTCAATTAATAGAAAAAGAAGAATTAGATAATTTTTTAGAAGAAGAATATTATGAAAACTTTAAGGAAGATGAATCATGTTTAGAATTTGTAGAAATTTAAAAAATTTATAATTTGTTAGTAACAGAACAAGATATAGAAAATATGATTAGTAAATTAGAAAAATTAGAAATTTTAGGAGAAAATATACTAAAATATTGGGAAAAAGATAAAGTTTTCTGTGAAATAAAAATAAAAAATCCAGAATATATAATAAAAATAAAAAATATTGAAGCAACAAACCAAGATCAGGAAGACTTTAGGATGCATATAAAAGATTTATTAAAATTAGGGGTAATTAAAAAATCAGAAAGCCCACATAGATCAGCAGCTTTTATAGTTAGAAAACACTCAAAAATTATTAGAGGAAAAAGTAGAATGGTAATTAATTATAAAAGATTAAATGATAATACAATAGATGATACTTATAATATTCCAGATAAAACAGTTTTAATAAATAAGATTCAAGATTGTAATATTTTTAGTAAGTTTGATTTAAAATCTGGTTTTTGGCAAGTAAAAATGCACCTAGATTCAATAGAATGGACAGCTTTCACTAGCCCAGAAGGACATTTCGAATGGTTAGTTATGCCATTTGGATTAAAAAATGCCCCTAGTATTTTTCAAAAAAAAATGGATAGTATTTTTAGTAAACATAATAAACTCATTATAGTTTATATAGATGATATTTTAGTATTTAGTAAAAATAGGCGAGAACATAGAGGTCATTTACAAATTCTCTTTTCAGAATTTATTAGACATGGTTTAATTATAAATAAAAAGAAAATGTTCTTATTTAAAGAATATATAGAATTTCTAGGAGTAAATATAGGAAAAGAAAAAATAGAGTTACAACCTCATATAGCCCAAAAAGCTTTAGATTTTTCAGATAAACTTGAAGACCTTAAGCAGCTACAAAAATTTTTAGGATTAGTTAATTATGCTAGACCCTTTATTAAAAATTTAGGAAAAATTGCACGACCTTTATATGGAAAAACTTCACAAAAAAGTCAAAGATATTTTAATATAGAAGATATTAAATTAGTCCAAAAAATAAAAGATAAATTAAAAGACTTACCTAAATTATCTATGCTATTAGAAACAGATTATTTAATTATAGAAACAGATGGAAGTATCACAGGATGGGGAGCAATTTTAATTGCAAAACCCAACAAATATGCAGATAAGGATAGTGAAAAAATTGTAAGATATAATAGTGGAAATTATAAAGAAAAAGGTAATATAAGTAGCATAGATTTAGAATTACTTGCAGTAAATTATGCATTAGATTCTTTTGAATTATTTATTATTTCTAAAAAAGAAATTACTTTAAGAACAGATTGCGAAACAATAGTAAGTTTTGTTAATAAAATGAAATTAGAAAATAAAAGAAGTAATAGAAGAAGATGGTTAAATTTTATAGATAGAATTACTAATACTGGATTAGTAATTAATTTTGAACATATTAAAGGTAGTGATAATCAGATAGTAGATATTTTAAGTAGAATAATTAAAAATAAAGAATATGATTGATTATCTCTTTTAGAATTTGCAGATGCAAAGACTAAGAGGCCCCAGGCCAGGATTGCCAATTGTTGGTAGTTCAAGTTCTCAGACAAATATACTACAGACTCATGATAAGTTAAGATTTGGTAATATAGA